CTGGCTGAAAAATATAGGATGTTGTAATCCATGTATCTACGGATAAGAATGCATTACTTGCTTCTACTCAAATATTCAATTTATCTTGTATATCTAGAAGAGTCAATCATTATATAGCTATGACAACTAGTTCAATGAACCAGGAAAGGAGATCAGCACAGATACTACCAGCTAAAGTGACAGTAATATTTTTGCACATCTGTGTTTTGTCAGTCTGGCACATTGGAAATACTGTATGGAACATGACAAAATTCCATAGCTTAAAGTAACCTAGAAAAACGTATGTAACTAAGGAGCCCAAGGAAATCAATGCAATTATCTTCTCATAATAACTACACTGAAGATTATTTATGGCAATAAAAGTTCTCGGATCACACTCACTACATTTTTTTGAAATCTGAATATTGTGGTCCATGTAAAGTAGAACTGTGGCTTTGGGAGAATTTGGGGGGGGGGTTGTTGTCATTGCAAAACATTGCCCTTTCTGTTTCATTGGTCTCAAACCGAATCTCTGGAATTGCTACTGGTTGCATATAATTACATCTGTTATCCTCCAATTATGGACTTCCACAAAATAACTGAGCTTCTCATAGGATGTTGTTTCCTTCAAAGATCTTTCCAAAATCACTAGGAAATCTAATCTTCTGCCGTTTTGTCTGGTTGCTGAGACAATCCTTATAAATACATGCACCACTCATAGATAACTGAACAAACAATATACAGAGCCAGGCTGAGGAATCTATGGCTTTCTTCTATATAAAGATCAACACAAGAAGAAAACTAACTCAGCAGGGCTTATCACTTTCCTTCAGCATCCTTCAGAATCCTTTTTAACTTAAAAAATAACTTGAGGAACTTTCAAAATATGAATTTTTCACTTCTAGTTTTTAATGATGTAATGCTATGATTTCAGAGCCAAATGATGTACTGACTTTATTGCATGATATGCAGTTAAATCTTATTTTTCCATTGGATAAATCTCTGCTCGATCGTTTCAGTAATACTAGAAGATATATAGCTGTTGAGTAAAACTAGTCAACCGAACAATAATAAGGCCACATAGTAAATGTAATATAGGAGTGTCTGCCACTTCATTCATTTGCATGCATCCACACCCTGCTGGAATAAAAATCTAAGATGTGATATCTGTCAAGTGAAGATCTTCCGATAGTCTCCACATTTGAGTAGGGGTATAGACTGCATGAAGTGGCAATCCTCGATTTACGACCACAATTGAGCTCCAAATTTTTGTTACTGAGACATTAAGTGAGTTTTGCCCCATTTTACGACCTTTTTTGCCACAGTTGTTAAGTGATTCACTGCAGTTTTAAGTTACTAAGATGGTTGTTAAGTGAAACTGGTTTTCCCATTGATTTGGCTTGTCAGAAGGTCGCAAAAGGTGATCACATGACTCTGGGACATCCCAACTGTCATAAATATGAACCACTTGCCAAGCATCTGAATATTGATCACATGACCACGGGGATGCTGCAACGGTTGTGTGAAAAACAGTCACAAGTCATTTTTTTCAGTGCCATTGTAACTTCAAATTGTCATTAAATGAACTGTTGTAAGTCGAGGACTACTTGTATTCTTTAGTTAAAGGGCAGAAACAGTAAGAGATTCCTGAAAACTGTTAAGATCAGTGGTGGGATTCAAATATGTGAACAACCGGTTCTGTGTGTGGATGCAGCTTCCGGAAGTCCATTCTGGGCCTGGGCAACAAAAAATTAGCTACAGGCTCTGGCGAAGTGGTGCAAAACCGGCTGAATCCCACCACTGTTAAGATCTTTGATTTGACAGAGAAAGAGAACTGCAGTTTTGTTCTCACCTGTTGTAAAATTGAGAGCAAGGTTTCTTCACCTTTTACATATTGAAAAAAATATATATACATGCCAAAGAAGGGTACAAGAAGGTAGCTTTAAATCTCTTACAGAAGCCTTCTCAACCCAGTGGCATCCAACCCAGAGTACAAACACCGGGCTTGGGAATTTTATAAGCTGCCGGTTCCAAACCATCTGGGACATTGGGAAGGGCTCGGCTTTGAAGTTTGGGCTGAAACCACCAGCCTTTAAAAAAAAACAAAAACTGCCATTCAAAAGAAAGAGAAGGAATGCATCTGGCAAGCAACTCCCGAGATAACGCCACCTGCAACCTGTTTTTAAGCACGTGGCCTTAGAAATTCCTTCTAATTACCCTTACTTGCTGCTTTACCTACGGATACTCGAGGATATCCATTCACTTACGAGTGTATTTGTCGGGAGTTACCATTGCTCGCCTTTCATTAAGAGGCAGCCTGACAGAACCGCACCTTAGGATATGCATGCTGCCTTCCCCCGCCTAGAAAGAGTTAAAAGCCTGGGAGGGTGCTTGGAATCCAGGTTTGTTTATCATCAGTTTCTCTCTCACTCGACAGGTTCTTCCAGCAGCAACAACAGCGGCGGGCTCTCTCCGCGCCCGGAATCTAGGCGGGGCCGTCCTTCGAACCTTGCCCGCCGCTTAAAAAGCGCAGCGCCTTTTCTACCGCCTCCTCCCAGGCGCAAGCCCGGCCCTAGGATATTGGCCTTAAAGGGGAACCCGAAGCCACGCTTCCTGCTTTTCCCTCCTCTTCTCTCACCCGAAGCCCATCTGCGCAAAATGTTCAGGTGCGGCCTGGCCTGCTGGAGGTGCAGATGGATCCTGCCCCTTCTCTTGGGTATAGCCATCATCTTTGGCATCATTGCATTGGCTGGCAAGGGATGGCTGGAGTCGGCCGAAGCCCCCTACGTGCGTAAAGCCTGGTTGTGGTGGGACTGTCGCAAACAAAACCCCGAGGATGGGAAGTGGATCTGCGATTCGCTCATGGATTATAGTAAGTCTTGGTGGCAAGTGGCGTGCATTGTTAACCTACGGGGTGTTTTCGCAAGTCTCGCTTTATTTAGTCGATGTTGGGAGGGTTACGGTGGTGAAAAAAATCGAAAAATGTGTCCGGGAAGAAACTTTCCCGGGAGACATATTTTGCAAAAGGCGCACCGGTTCACATTAAAGGACATTAAAGGACAGGCCTTGCTTGGAAACAAATTGCGCATATGGCGTCAGCCTCGCTTTTGTGCAAAACTAATAGCCCGGCGAGCCTGAGAAACCGGTAATGAGCAGAAACCGGACTGCCATTCAAAAGAGGGGCTAGAGATCCTAAAGCGAGGCGCAGGGGGAGATAAAGGGTTAACAGGCGACGAGGCCTTTGTTAGTTACAGATTGCTCTGTGGAGGATTTTAAGAACAACCTGCCTCCAGAAGTTGTGAATGCTCCAACACTGGAAGTTTTTAAGAAGAGACTGGACAACTATTTGTCTGAAATAGTATAGCGTTTCCTGCCTGAGCAGGGGGTTGGACTAGATGACCTCCATGGTCCCTTCCAGCTCTATTCTAAGAAGCAATAAGGCGAATTGCCGCCTCAATCGAAATTATTCATTGAAATTAGTTTGAAAGGCTCTGGATAAAACTGGTTGCCGCACCTTTAACTCATCAAAACTTGACCAGCTTTGCTCATCGTGAGTTTGTTTAATGCACAGAAAGCCAGTCTTTGACTGCCCTGATTGTATTCCTCTTCTTCGTCATAAATCCTAACCTTCCGGTCAGAGCTGGAGAAGCAAATAGCCTTTGTGCTTTCAGAGGGGGTGGGAGAGCAACTATTCCTTTGCCCCCACTGCTGGTTGTAACTTGATACCAAAAGAGTGTGTAATCTCTTGTTAGACTGAGCTAGAATTGAATTGTGGCCAAATAGGGGAAGATCTGCAGCGCTTTGCAAGCTTTGGTAGTTAAGGGGGAAAAAAAACATACCCAGAAGTTAACATATTACTATAGTAGTCTTCCTGTGATACATTAACTTAGATTTCCTCAGGTTGGTGCCTCCAGAAACGTTGGGATGGCAATTATGAAGATTTTCAGACAGCGAAGTATATTTCAGATCCCAAAACATCTGGAGGGTGCTAATTACAGAAGATTGAGTGTATATACAATGGTGCCTTGAGAATTAATGGAATAATAAAGTATATTGGAGTTGTAGAAGCCGAGGAACTTGGGTGCTGCTAAGCATATCCTTTAGAGATGTTTTTTTAAACTCTTGGTAATCACTGGTTTTTTGCCTTTAATTGGAAAAGTCAAAGTGACAATTGCACAATTGTTCTTTTCTATAAAGAATAGGTATAATTTGTACTTCAAATGCAAGCTATTTCACTGGTATATTTCTTAAAATGTAATAGAAATAAATATTCTTTCTAATTCTTACCTTTACTTAAACTATTATTTTTGACAAAAAAGGTATAGAATCGGTTATTTAAGTAAGAGGGAATTTTTATATAAATTACATAAGCTGAGGACCCTAGCGCTTGTAGTCTGACTGATTAAAGGAAATAAATACATAATTTCCCCATGAACCCATTAAAAATGGGTTCCTCTAGGGAAGGAGAATATTCTTGATGACAGTGGGGGATTTGGGCCAGTCATTCTTGGGACAGCTGAGTCTACCCCCTCATAGACTTGTTTTGGAGATAAAATGGAGAGAGACTTCTACAGAAGCCAGGCTTGAATTTCTGGTGAAAAGCTTGAGATAGCATGTATTGTGCTATTAGTCAGAGTTGATAATAATTCTGTGAGGAGTGTCTAAAAATTCTGGCATGAATCCAAGTGTTCCTTTTATCTTTCCCAAACAAGTTTATCAGCTGCAAAGAACCTCCTGGAATCAATTTTGTCTTAACTGAAATCATGTCAAACAAAATAAAACACAGGTTTTGATGTAAAGATTAATGTATGAAAATACAGGCCAAACAAAAACTACAGTTAGTCCTTGACTTACAACAGTTCATTTAGTAACTGTTCAAAGTTACAATGGCACTGAAAAAAGTGATTTATGACCATTTTTCACACTTACGACCGTTGCAGCATCCCCATGGTCACATGATCAAAATTTGGACACTTTCTGTCATATATTTATGATGGTTGTAATGTCCCAGGGTCATGTGAACATCTATGACCTTCTGACAAGCAAAGTCAATGGGGAAGACTCAACAATGGTGTGACTAACTTAACAATTGTAGTGATTCACTTAACAACTGTGGCAAGAAAGATTGTAAAATGGGGCAAAATTCGCTTAACACTTAGCAACAGAAATTTTGGGCTCAATTGTGGTTGTAAGTCAAGGACTACCTGTGCGATCCCAACTTATTTTGCAACTCTTGTATTCAGGGTAGATTTGATAATTGAGGTCAGTGAAATTATGATAGCAAATTCTGCCCTAACCTAGATTTCTTTCTCTAAATCAAATATGGATAATTGGGGGGGGGGAAATCTAGGATTTAGAATTAAGAGGCTCAGTGATTCAATTTGGAAACAAAAACATTAAATCAAAATTTTGTGTACTTGGATACATGGTAAATATTTTAACATGGGTAGATTGTTTTATGTATTTAAATTTAGATTTCTGTGAGGGAAGCTAAACTGCTATTTCAGATGTGAAATTTTTTTAAAGATAGTGCTTAAACTTGGCCTTTCTTACAGCACTTTTTGTGTATGTTTTGTAAAGAACATCCAGATAGAATACATTCAACATGTACTGGGAATGGAATGAATGAACATTAAATCTTTGTATTATTACAGTGTTTGCTTCATGCGAGCTAACTAAGATTAATGTGTCACAATACATTAGTTAATTGGTAAGAGTATTGCAAAATTTCAGCAATTACCTGAGTGAAGAACTTGCTTACAATTTGTATCATGAATTCCTTTTTTTAAAAATAAGAAAAAACAGAGTGCAGAAGAGGAAGACTTAATACTTATAACGATGTTACTCAGATTAAAAATTGCAAGTAATTCATACACTGATTTTATTCCACCCTTTCGCTTAAAAGGAAGCTACCTTGGAGAAAGATCGTTTGTTAATGACAGACTTGCATCTGGCACAAATTCTTATTCAAGATTGTACTTGTTAAGTATTGATGTTGCACAGAATACAGAAAAGAGCCACTCCCTATGCATTGGGGAGGAAGGCATTCTTTGTTTGGAATGATAATTAAATGGCAGAGTTTGTAATTCAGATTTGCTTCAAGATTAAACTAGATGTAACATGGAGTCCTACGTATCTTTTTTGAATTATTTTTTTGTATTAAAGAATAGCTCCTCCCCAAAAGCTGTTTGTTACAGAAATTAGAATGTAGGAAGATGGAATACATGAGGAATAACCTTTTATTTTTAATACTGTGGCCGTCCTTTTCAGATGGAAAATAAAAAACTACAATCACTTTTCCCCCATAGAATGAAAGGGAAATGAAAGGGTATCCCATCCCATGACAACCGATTAAATTCTATACTCTTAGCAAAATGGAAAAAAAACCATAGGTGATTTAAATAAATTAGATGGTGATCTGAGAAAATATTAAGATTGGCCCCTCAAGAAATGGGAATGAGCAACTATGGCACCAAATAAAGGGTATGTTTAGCACTAAGATAATCAAGATAATCAAGTGGTTAAAACGGAGGATTTAAGATTAATGGCTGCATTTTCAGGTGAATTCAATCCCCCCTCTTGATCCTGTGTCCACCTTTGAGTGCTACAGGTCAAAAAGGATAGTGACAATTGTTTCTCATAATGGAGGATAGTAAGCAATGGGTTAATCCAAGGATCTATAATCAGATGAGTATTCTGATTAATTCATAAATGTTCTGGAAGTGACCAAATTGTCTGAGGATCAAGGAGAGAAACTACAAAATCCCAAAAGAATGCCTTCAAATCTGGAGGGTGAACAAATGTAATTTACTGTAAAGTGTAAACCTATGGAAGATTTAAAAAAAATTTACATTTACATATGTCAGATTGTAAGCAAGTGATCACTAACTAAGAAAGGGATCTTGGGATTATGATGGATAAAAAGTGTTGATTTAGTGTAGTCTTCCCTAGTGAGACCAATCTGATGTGAAGACTTCTGAGAATTATCCTCAATTCTCTGCTGTAATGAAGAGAGCTGGGAAATTCTGGGTGTTCAAGTACATTTACCTAGAAGATGATGAGGTTATGATTGCTGTGGAAAATAAAGTCCATATTTGGAATTGTAGGATAAAGAACTAAAATACATTAGTGCATTTGCACTAATCAGAAGTATAAACAAGAACTGTAATGGTAAAGTTTGATTCATTGACTGTTGAAACTATTTGGAACAGTGCTACATGAAGGCCATTTCTGAAAAGATACTGGGATACAATACTAGGTCTTAACCACAAAAAATTGTTTTGTATATTTATCTAATTGTAGCTTATTTAATAAACTATAGTTAAGTAAATCATGGCTTGGCACTAGGCCACAGGGAAAAAAAGCAAGCAATATATTTAGGTGGAAAGGGTATATTATTTAGGGCTCGTTATTTTAGCAAAAAGTCTCATTGAAAAGAGAAATTAGAGACGCATCAAGTTAAACTTGATGCGGCCGCGCGGGGGATTTTGGGGGCCTCTAGATACTCCCATGTAACACCTCTCCTGCGTGAGCTGCACTGGCTGCCTGTGGCCTTCCGGGTGCGTTTCAAGGTGTTGGTAACAACCTTTAAAACGCTCCATGGCAATGGACCTAGGTATTTGCAAGACCGCCTCCTACCACATACCTCCCTTCGACCAGTCCGCTCCCACAGAGAGGGCCTCCTTAGGGTGCCGTCGGCCAGTCAATGCCGGCTGGCGACCCCCAGGGGGAGAGCCTTCTCTGTGGCAGCTCCTGCCCTCTGGAATGACCTACCCCCCGACCTACGTACAACTGCAGACCTGCGCCTTTTTCGCCTAGCCCTGAAAACTCATCTATTTCGTGCGGCCGGCCTGGCGTAGTCTTAATTAGGTTTTAGTATAGGTTTTTATATGGGGTATTTTAGAGCAGGCCTTTATTTATTTAATTTGATTTTAGAATAGATATTTATTGTGATTTTTATTATCGCCTGTTCACCGCCCTGAGTCCCGTAAGGGAGATAGGGCGGTATACAAATCTAAATAATAAATAAATAAATAAATAAAATAAACTGTGCTTGTATGATTGAGATGCTGGACTTGGACTGGGGAGGTCCAGTCTCACTCCCCTTGTGACTGTGTAGATTACCCAGCTTGTTTTAAAAATGCAGTGATGGGAGGATGTCTTGAACACGGAGAGAAAAAGCTGTCAATAGAAGATAATCAACCAAATTCAGGCCTACAGTACAGTAGCTATTGATTCTTTGTAGGGATTTGCAGTTGTGTCAGATGAAAAGAAGCATCACAATATTTAATAGATAATGCCTTTAACAATAAAAGCAAGAGTCTGCTCAATCCCCTTAACCAATATTTTTCTAAGCTTACATTCAATGCAAAATGTATATATTTATATGTAAGGTATATATGATTCTTATCTTTCTTTTTCCCTCCCAAAGGTTGGGGCAGAGCTGCTGCTGCTACATACCTTGTCGGTTTTGTCATCCTCTGCATCTGTTTCTGCCTAGCAGTCATAGCATTTTCCATTGAAATCCTACGGTTTAACTTTGTTCGAGGAATCGGTGGCTTGCTCTTCGTTGTTGGTAAGCCTGTAGATAAGAGAATTGATTTTCTGTGACTTTCCTTCTCTCTAGAATGTGTAAAAAAAAAAAAAGCTTTAATTTCTTAGTCAGATCTTTCCTCCTCTTGTACAACTTTATTTAGATTTCATACTAGCAACAAACAACTGTCCAGACTCAATCAGGTCAGCTTTCTTAATTGGAGCTAGCCAGCATTAATTCATCATTTAGTTTCTAATTTGCCTCCCCCAAGTTTATTTTTTAATAGGCAAGTCTCTTCATTTTAGGAGGCACTTTTATATATATTTAGAATATTACTGTTGGGATGTATTAATAAAGATATTTCACATGAGTTTTTATTTGCATAAATTTACAATTGTATTATTTTGCAAAAATATATTTAATGCATCAGTATATTCCCTTCTATATTGTGGATATAATAGAACTTAATATCTTCAAAATATTTAACAAAAAACTCCTAGGATTATATGTAGCAAGTTAGTTATGGTTGAACCACAGCTATCTTGAGAATCATTTATAAAGCTTCATACAATTTGGTTTCTTTAGTTTGGGTTTATTGTCTTGCATGAATTAAGGGTGATTTTTGAAGCATAGTTTATAGATTACTATACAGTGAAGCTTTAGCCAATCATGATTTATTCAGAAATCATGGCTATCCAACCAAAGCTTAGTGTAGTGCAGGAACTCAACTAGAACCTTCACCTGGATATCACATCTTTCAGTATTTTTATTAATTACTTGGAGGTGGTGGAAGGAATGCCAGCCAGACTTGCTAAAGATAGAATTGGGCATGGCTACTAGTATCCTTAAAGATGAAAGAACAAATCAAAATTATTTTAATAAGTTAAGTCAAGTTGAGCAGCTTCTGAGAATTGGAAGTTGTAACTCAACCTTCAGGTTTTTGGAAGGCTGCAGGATACAGTTGAGAAGGGTAGTCAGATTTCTGTCTTATTTTGGCATATATGGGGCATTAAGAGTGGGAATGGGAAAGGCAAAACACTGTTATTCCCACACTTCATCCCGTCTCCATATTCAACATCCAAAATTGTGCCTCACAGTCTTGGAGAACTGCCCATGGATCCCCCCCCCCCCCGGGTAGAAAGCAGAATTGGAAATAACAGAATAAAATTGAGCAGAGGCAAATGCAAAGTTTTTTCACATGAAAAAGGAATCAGATATGCACAGAGAAGCCTGGTTTAATAATATTGTAAGCAAAAAATTGGAATTGTAGCTGACAATGCTTGAATATGGATGGCTGCAGAGAATCAAATGTGGTTTTAAGTAGTATCAGTAGAAACCCATTTTGCAAATCACAGGGTATGAGTTCCATTCTATTCTGTGTTAGTCATAATCATTCTTGAACATCTGGCCAGTTTTTGGTGCCATAATTGAAGATCCAGATTAATTTTAACAGTTTCGAAGAAAGCCAATATGATTATAGAACTGAAAATATCAGTGAGAAAACACATGAAAGGCTAAATATATTAAGCTCTGCAACAACAATAGCACAAAGCTCCCAGATGTATTTGGAGGATTTGATAGCAATCATCAAATAGCCATGATTTTTGTTATCCCAAAATGTAATCTGTTTGACAGTGCTCTGAAGTTACAGGAGGGCAGGTTCCAATGGAAAGTTAGGGAAAAAAAATCTTAAAATAAGTGGTTGGAAAGTGGAATCAGTTGTGCTGGATTCTTGTTTTGACAAGGAATATGCCTAATGGCTCCTAATTCTGTGATGTGTTTAACAGATGTAAGTATCACATTAATATTGATTTGTCTGGTTGCTATACACATAGTGATGTTTCATACATTGTGTGTGATAGATGTTTTCCCATGATTTTTACAAGTAATTATCAAAAGTTTTTGTGCTTATAGGAAATAAAGTCAGTGGTATACATTTTTTCCAAGCGTTTAGCAAACAGACTTGAAAAATCTAATTATTGGTAGGACCGACGATTGGTCTTACCAATAATTACAGAGGTAGGTCATTGAATGTTAGCAGAGTTCAGTCATCTCTCTTATGCAGGATTATTCTCCCTAGATGAGATTGCAGCAATCTCAACTCCATTTGGTGAGATAGCATGCAAGAAAGAATGCTGAAACTTTTAAGAGATTTAATTAGGAAATGTTATATCTATTTATATAAATGATTATAATTAAGATAGATACTCTGGTGTCTTGTACTATATTAACAATACCTCATTATTCAATCAATCAGTATGTAAAGCCACCAATCTCAACAAGTGATTGGACAACAAATATATTAAATAAAAATACAATTGCAACATATTGTTACCAATGTAATAATTTAAATGCACAGCAGTCAAGGAAATAAACCCAGTCAACAAACGCTAATACAGCAGGACATGAATCACTTCATATGCTTAAGGCCCCAATTCTGGGCACAGAGGCAGGTCTTTAGGATCTTGCAAAGGATAGCAGGATTGGGGCCATCCTAATCTCTTCTAATGTAAATACAGTTTGCTGCAAATAATCTGTGTGCTGTGAGATTTTATTTAATGCCTTTTTTCCCCTCCTTGTTTCCATCCAGCTGCTTTCCAGATCTTAGGCTTGGTCATCTATCCAGTGAAATACACCGAAGATATTATATTGACAGGAAGCAACATGTTCAGCTGGGCTTATGGCTTTGGTTGGGCAAGCACAGTGATTGTGATAGGTTGTGCATTCTTTTTCTGTTGTCTTCCCAACTGGGAAGATGAAGTCCTCGGTAACATAAAACCCTATAGACATGATGGCATTTAATCTGTTTGATGTGGACTTAATAAAAGATACTTTTAGTAAATAAAGCAATATGTGTTTGTTTGAATAACAGTTTGTTTTTAGCCGTTCCTGTTTTCAGACTTATTCTATTAAAAAAAAAAGAGATTGCATTCTGAAGTTTGATAACTAATAACAATTCCATTCAGGAATTAATTGCTTTTTGTAAAGGACAGAAGCTTTGGTGAGGTGATTTATTCCAAGATAATATTTTATTGAGTAAATATATAAGGGATTTTTTAACAGTCAGACAATTTTAAGTTTTTGTTTTTAGCCTGTGGTTCAAAATCTTTATCCAAACACGTATTAATAAAAATGTTTGAAAATGTAGTTATTTATACATTCGGTATGCAATCTTCTAAGCATTAGATTCTGTTAATATTTTTTACTGGCATTTCTGCTATAGCAATGCTTCATAGCTTCCTTCCTACTAAATGAATGAACACCATAGTATTTTGTGTGTGCAGGTTTCCCATGTTAAAAAATTTGTTGGATGCTTCTAGACAAGGTTAAGAATATGATAAAATTGCTCCATTCTGATAATTAGTGCAGAATACTTAGATAGCTATTTTGTGTTTCTTCTGGTCTCCCACCCCCATTAAAGAAATCTCTTGAGAGTGCATAAATGCCATTGGTGGTAATGCCCACGATCTTCCATTTTAATTTACCTGCATACCTCTTAACATTTATATATTGAATGTGTCTCATAGATTGAAATTAGGGAGAAGGTAAAACTGAGTTTCACTTTTCAATTTTCTTTCTCCTCAATATCTGATAGTACAACTTTATTCTCAGTATATGGTTTTAAAGCAAAAGAAAAAAAAACCCAGCCCCAAACCCAAATAATTATTAGATGGCAAACCTATTAGGCAACAAACAAAGCTGGTTTATTGGATAGTTGCAGTTAGAAAGTGCTTTTCTGCTGCTGATCTTCTCATCCCATTTTATCATGACTATACCCCATATACATATTTAGGATTCAGATGGCATTGAATCAAAGGATGGGTAAGGATAGCACCAATGTAAGGTTGATTTTTCAAGACACTTAAACTTTTAAATATGGTTCTGCAGGATTAGTTACTTGGGAGTAGAATAATGTAGGCTTGACTTTCCAAATTTAAGCATATATACAGTGTAGCTCACAGATAGGCAGTGTGATGTCTATGGGTATAGAGAACCTTAGGACAACTCCAGTGGGGCTAGTTAGGTTTCTACAGCATTGGACTTTATTTTTTAATTAAAATATATGGAATGCTTGCATGCTGCAAAACTAAAATGCCAGTCCGTGACATATTTATTTACAAGAGTACCTATGGATTTTTATGTAGAGTCCCCAGGGTGTTCCAGAATAAAAGTGGAACTTGGGTGTAAGCCTAACAAGAGAAAGATAATGAAAAATTGCAGCAGTGCAAAGCATTGGTGGAATGGGTTAGGGCAGAATTCCCCAAACTTTTGGGCACCAGGGACCGGTTACATGAAGAGAGGTTTTTCTGTGGACTGGGAGGAGGCGTTTTGTGTGTTGCCAGCATCCTTTGGATGGGGCTTTGTGTGGACTGGTTGCTGGTATGCTGTGGCCCGGTACTGGTCCACGGACCAGGAGTTGAGGACCCCTGGGTTAGTGAGAATAATCATGTCACATTGCCTTTTTAAAAGAATTTGTGTGAGTTGTTGCCTAGTTGCCAACACACACTGTCGTAGCCATTGTGTAAACAGATATACCTTTGGCAATCAGAATGTCCAGATTCCTACAGTATACATTCAGAATTCCAACCCTATAGATGTTTAGTCAGCAACAGAACACAGAGTTCAGTCAGTTTAATCTTAAATAAACAGAGAAGATTGCAGAGAATTTAATATAATTAATTTTAGTAGGAAAATTAAATAATCACTGAAAATATTGGGTAGAATGTGTGACTGGAATATGTGAAAATTTTAATTTACCTTAAGATATTTTAACATCATTAAATCCATTGTTAACCTGACAGCCCTCTGAATGTATGTTACTAAAAAAAGGTTATATACCATATATTTTATACCTTTTGGTAGAAGTTTATTTTGTATTTGTGGAAATATTATATATTGTAATGTATCATTTCAGGCATGACTGTTTTTGTATGTTTACAATTATTCTCAAAAGCCATCTGCCCACTACTGCATGAGTTAATTAATAAAAGTTGCTTAAGGTACAGAAAAATTCTCATATGAATCCACATTGTTTAAAATGTTGTATTTTATGCTATACTGGTTTGTGATAGAACGTACCTCTTAATGAAATATTGCCTATGTGTTCTGTAAATATTGTGATCTACAATTGAAGACAGAAATCTTCCATCCACTTTTATGGAATATGCTCATTGCCTTTAATAGAATTTGCTTTTTCTGGATAAATAAAAGTAGTACTGTTTTGATAACAATGATACGTTTATAAAGAAATTAATAGAATAAAAGTGTACTAGTTTAATAAGGGTATTTAATTCATACACCCGATTTTCCTTAAAGATCATCAGCTGGCAGAGTCTAGCTATTGCTAATATTCTATCATTTTATTAGTAATAAATCAGTAGCAAACATTAGTTCAAAGGACCATGTTTACATTTTCCTGGAGTAACCAGAGTTTCCTAAATTTCCAGCATTCAAGAAGACCAAGACAAAGATTCTTAAGTGTTTACATACATTCGAGCAGTTTGGAATCATATGTTTAAATGGGCATTTGAATTCTACATGTTTTATCTCTACAATAAAAAATATATACATTATATTGAGAATATACTGGTGAAAAGTTTTAATCGTTTGGAGCATTTCCTCTGAAAGCTCAGTGAAAAGCAAGGTGAGCTGGATGTAAATGCAACATAGGTAGTTTGGATGTGAGAGACTGCAACAGTCTTACATAAAACAAGAATTCAACTAATTGAATGAGTATACTGCAGTGTTGAGAATGCCATACTATTTAATCCAGAATGAAGATGCATGAAAAAGCATTTATAGAAAAACTATATGGTAAATACTGCCATTTTCAATATTGCTTCAATGAATTTCTGCACTGATCAGGGGTTCAGATTCAATAACCTTTCCAGTACTATTCTATGATTCTATAAGTATGAATTAGGCATACATAGAGAGTCGCTTACAGTTCAAACTTTCAATGTTTCCAATTAATGCTTCTGAGTTGATAGCCTGCACCCTCAATTCTTTGCAGAGTACCACTCAGCCCTTTCTCTTTTATTCAGAATATCTCCCATGGAAAACTATAACTACACTGGAAAGAGACAGACTTTTCAGTTTACAAAGTAGCTATTGACAACATACCAACATGCCACATAATCACCACATTTATTAGGTTAGAGTTGCTCGGAATTGGATGACATATAAATTTATTCATTATGTTTCCAGTTTGAAAATCTTAGCTATTTTTCTTACAATTTCAGTTGTACATAGTTGGGAAAAGGGACTTGATTGTCCTAAAGTCTTTCTGAGCTATCTTAGCTTTATATAAGAAACTGCAGATCATCTTGCTGGACTATTGTAAAACACTTCACTGAATAACATCTGGATGGTTTTACTGTTCTATTTTCAGCATCCAATACCATGGTTCAGTTGCCCTAGTTATAGGCTTATGTTCTAGCCCAGGAGTGTTAAACTGCCGGCCCACAGGCTGGTTGCATCATGCACCCACTTCCAGCTCCAGCAATGCGAAAAAAGTTGCGACATGTCACGTGACGCAGCGAGTTTGACACCCATATTCTAGCCCAGTGATGGTGAACCTTTTAGAGACCGAGTGCCCAAACTGCAACCCAAAACCCACTTATTTATTGCAAAGTGCCAGGGCTGCATTAGCATTGTGGTGCCCTCGGGGGCGTGGCCCACTGGGTGGGCGTGGCTGCAGTGGTCATAGCAGACTGGGTGAGCATGGCCGGGGCCAGTCCCTCGCCATCTCTGGGGTATCCCCAGGGGGCCAATGCCGCTTGCTTGCTCACTTCCTGCCCTGTCTCTTCCAAACGCCACGTGCTTGCTACTCTGGTGAACTCTGATGGGGCAACGGCGCGCGTGCCCACAGAGAGGGCTCTGAGTGCTGTCTCTGGCATGCGTGCCATAGGTTCACCACCATTGTACTAGACTATTTGAAGTGGGACTAGAGAAATTACAAATCTACTTCAGCAGTCTTCTTACCTATCTATAATTTTCCAGTTTCGTTCAATAAAAGGAGATTGTAATTAAATTGCTTTAAAGGGAATGTTATTATAATCCCCGTTAAAAAAAAGAAAACTCTCCTTCCTGCTAGGTGACATGGCAACTTATTTCCTGAGAGAAGATGAGAAATCCCTTAGTTAAGATACAATGTTTCCATAAAATACGTGTTGAAATTCTGAATACTAGGCATTTACCTTCAAATGTCACATTCATTACTCCAGCTGTGCAGACTTTCAATTATAGGATATGATCCATCCAGGTAGGTTTTTATTCCACTGACAATAGGAAAAGAAATATAGTATTTAAATGTCTCTTTCAAATTTATTATCTATCTTTATAGTCTTCCTTTCTTCAATGGAGCTGAGAACAACACACATTTCTTGCATATAACATCTATTATGTGATGTATTAAACCAGAGGTCTTCAAACTTAGCCCTTTTATAACTTGTGGACTTCAACTCCCAGAATTCCTCAGCCAAAGTGTATGGAAAATGGCTCTGTGCCCCTGCTCTTTTATGTAGAGGGACAATAACAATTACACACTTGGAAAGTGTGTCTCTGGCTAGCATCCTTTTCTTAAGGTGGCCAGGAATTGGGTAGGGTGCTGATGATCTTAAGAGAATGTGGGATGCCATTAATGCATCATTTACAAGCAGCCCCTGATAATTCACCATAGCAGAAGCAGTTTTGTAGTACAGTTGGGCTCTTCCAAAATTAATCTGAACCTGCAGTAATTATATGAATCTTTAGATTTCCCTGATCAAATTCTGTCAAGAATGCATGTCTGATTGCATCACATTTAATTAGTTCTTTGCAGATGAATTCTTATCTTCTGGACTGA